CTTATTTATTTAATTAATTTGTTTATAGGCATGTGGCATGCATGCCACAGTGTACACACACATTGTGGTGTGCATGCAGAGGAGAGAGGACACACAGTGTGCCTGCAGGGGTCAGGGGACAGTTTTCAAGTCAGTTCTTCTATCTTGGGGGTCTGAGGCTTGTCAAATCATCAGGCTAAGCAGCAAGTGCCTTTCCCTGTGGGGCCATCTCAGTTGCTCAGATGGCGCTATTTAAAGACGTGTGCACATGCACGCACTTGTGAATGCATGTGTGCACACGCATGCATGTGCGCACACACACACGCGCACACACACAATTTAGATCAAACTGAGAGCAAAAGATACTACTAGATTGTATTAAAATTGAGATCCAGAGTCATCCTAAAGAGAGGTAATAATCATGACTGAGAGGAAGTACATCTGACTTAGGATGTTAGACTCTGAAATTTAGTAAGAACCTCTTTACATCAGGAAGACATTGATGGACAGTCCACTAGAAGGACAGGTAGTAGAGGTCACGTGACACAGGAAGGGACAGCATGAGCAGCTGTTGGATGGGGAGTTTGCCTGAGTCAGTGGGCAGGAAGCAGTGCACATTCAAATTAAGATTTCACAGAGCCAGGTTGGTACAAATGTGGACACCAAGGGATGTCCAGTATTAGTGAGGATTAGCAACAACCAGGGTTTCATATAATACTACTGGGAGTATAAATTGGCTCATAAACTTTGAATAATGTTTAGTTAGCAAATTTCCAGATGGACACATCTCCAGACTCGGTATTCTATTTTTACACACGCATGCGCGCACACACACACACACACACACACACACACACTAAATGGTACTTCTTATCTACCTGGTATCTGGGAGGACATGGAGGACAGAGTATCCTGGCAGAAGGTATTGGTGCCTTTGGGACTGGGGAAAGAAGGAAGGCACTGCTTTTTTCTAAGTCGGGGAAAGGATGTAGGGTGTGGGAAGGCACTGAAACTCCCCCTCAGGACTCTCAGAACTAGAAGGAGAAAAGTTGGTGATGATTTGCCTAGTTGCTCATCGGTTTCATCTGCCTGCCTTTGTGTTTCCAGTCTGAGGCGCCGGTGGGGCTTGTCTCCTTTTGTAGGTTGAATGTCTACAGTGAGTTGAGATGAGTCATCCTGTTTTGAGAACTAAACAATTTATCAAAAAACAAAAACAAAAACAAAAACAACAACAACAAAAAAACCCAACAACAACAAAACAAAAACCCAAAGAAGTTCCATTTGGGTTAAAGCTTTTAGAGATGGGTGACGGTGCTGTCCTCCAGGCCAACTCTGAGAGAGGATGACCTCTCTTGGCAGCACTCGGGCCTGTGGCCTGGAGGTTGGCAGTGGGACTTAGTCTAAACCAGGTGGGTGCCTTTGTGTAGATTCCAGTAGCCAAACTTGTCATGTACTTTCAGCTCAGTTATAACATAATGACACAATTAGACATGCTTTTCAACCATATTTGTTAAAATGGACTGGTTTTGTAGGTAAAACATTTTTTTTTTCCCTTTCTCTTCTCCCTCTCTCTCTGGTCCTGCTTCCTCCAGCCCCGGGGAAAACATTTTGTGAAGAGCCTACAAAATTGCTTTTCTAGTCTGGACCCTGGCCACCCCCAGCCCCACCCCTAGCCCCTTCCTCAGGAGGTAGGGGTATTTTCAGCAAGCCAATTTAAACCCTGTAAGTCTCATTTGTGACAGGAGGGGATTGACTGGGGTCTTAAAGGGATCCAGCTGGCTGGAAGAGTTCATGATTCAGCAGTGTTCTGCTGGAGTTAGGAAAGAGTCTGGGATAGAATAAAATGACTTCAAAATGTATTCACAATGCCACATTTGTTTTGCCTGCATGAGTCTCAGACAGACAGACAGACAGACAGACAGTGGGCTGGCTCTGCACCTGATTTTTCATCACTGTGAACAGGCTTGCATGGGCAGTTTCTAGGCTGGAATGTGTAGCATGGCCAGGTCCAGGTGAGCGCCCAGTGAAGGTGGTGTGGGGACAAAGTGCTTCCATACGGGCCCAGGGGGAGCTCTCAGAGAGAGTTGGGACACTTGCAGTGTTTGCTTTGTCCACAAGGCCCCTGCATGCCCACGTCACTGCCTGAGAGACAGTGACTCTCCAGCCCCTTTCTTTCTCTATCCTCAAAGAGAAAAAACCCTTTCACTCTAGGGTGATCTAAAGCTTTATAGCTTGGAAACTGATCTCCAGGGCTTGAAATGAGAGTCCCTGGTGCCTTTTATATGGAGAGAGCCTCACCTGGGCTTTCTAACCTCTTCCTGAATTAACTACAGAGGTAATTTCCTCTGGCACTGCAGCTGCTGCCTCTTAGGAGCTGGTGACTCTCCTGGGGCTTGGCAGAGAGAAAAAACCTCCCAGGTTGGCACCTTTCAGGCCTCAGTGTGAAGTTTTTTTGTGCCTGTGCTTTTTCAGTTGTGGACTTTTAGGTTTATTTTTAGTCTTTTTGGTCACTTTGCCTTTCCTCATCTCTGCCCTTTAACTGTAATTTACGTCATGTCTCTGGGGTCTTAAATCAGCCACTGAACAATGTTCTTTGTGCTTTATCTCTTGCACTCTCTGGTTCACACAAAGATGTGTTTCTGACTCGTTTCTGAAGGGATCTTGTCTCCTGTTTGGCTCTTACATTTTAAGACAAGTTACAGCAGACTGTTTTTATTATTTAAAAAATTATTATGTGGATGTGTCTGTGTGTATGTTTTTCTACCACATGTGTGTAGGAGCCTTTGGAAGTCTGAAGAGGAGTCAGATCCTCTAGAACTAGAATTACAGACTGTTGTGGGCCACCATGTGGGTGCTGAGAACCAATCCCAAGTCCCCTGGAAGAGCAGCCAGTGCTCCTAACCTCTGAGCCATCTCTTCAGCCCTGAGTTTATAACCTTTTAAATGTATGATGGTGTCTTTCTCTTGTTGTTGTCCTTATTTATTTATTATTGATTTATTTTACCATAGAGAATAGTCACTCATTGGCCTGTGCTTGGTATGTGACAAGTTAAGATATAAGGTATTAAGGAAAGGCCATCCAAAGATTGCCCCACCTGGGGATCCATCCCATATACAGTCACCAAACCAAGGCACTATTGTGGATGCCAAGAAGTGCATGCTGACAGGAACCTGATATAGTTGTCTCCTGAAAGGCTCTGCCAGAGCCTGACAAATACAGAGGGGATTCTCAAAGCCAACCATTGGACTGAGCATGGGGTCCCCAATGGGGTCCTCAAATGGAGGAGTTAGAGAAAGGACTGAAGGAGCTGAAGAAGTTTGCAACCTTATAGGAAGAACAATAACAACAACCAACCAGACCACCCAGAGCTCCCAGGGACTAAACCACCAACCCAGGAGAACACGTGGAGGGACCCATGACTCCAGCCACATATGTAGCAGAGGATGGCCTTGTTGGGCATCAATGGGAGGAGAGGCCCTTGGTCCTGTGAAGGCTTGATGCCCCAGTGTAGGGGATTTCAAGGCCAGGGAGGCGGCCACCCCCCCCCCCCCCCCCGAACACCCTCATAGAAGCAGGAGGAGGGAGTATGGGATGGAGAGTTTAGGGGGGAATGGGAGGGGGATAACATTTGAAAGGTAAATAAATAAAATATCAATAGAATAAAAAAAGAACGGGATAAAAGATATAAAGCATTTAGACAGGAAACACTACAGTTAGGCTATACAGAAGATAGCAAATGTTTAATGATGTTGCTGTGAAACAGTTTTGTCATGCTTAAAAAAAAAAAAATTAAGGCTGAGCAGTGGTGGCCCACGCCTTTAATCCCAGCACTTGAGAGGCAGAGGCAGGCAGATTTCTGAGTTTGAGGACAGCCTGGTCTACATAGTGAGTTCCAAGGCAGCCAGGGCTACACAGAGAAACCCTGTCTCGAAAAACAAACAAACAAACAAAAAAACCAAAACAAACAAACAAACAAAAAAGCACTTGCTGCTCTTGCAGAGGACCCGGGTTCAGTTCCCAGGTCTCACATCTGGCAATTTGTAGTCACTGTAACTCCAGTTCCGGGGCATCTGAATCCTCTTCAGTGTTGGAGAGCAAACCAAGGGCCTCCTGCCTTCCAACTGTGTTCCGCTACTGAACCACGGTCCTATGCATTTATCTTTTTTTTAAAGCCATGCCACAGAGAAGGGAGTGGTAATCTACACAGTTTATAACTGGTGTGAGTTTGTGACTTTCAGGAGCTAGAAGCATGCTATCCATGAGTCTAAATATTATTTGCAAGTTATTGTGTGTTCTCTTTTTTTGTTTTGTTTTTCAAGACAGGGTTTCTCTGTGTATCTCTGGCTGTCCTGGAATTCACTCTGTAGACCAGGCTGGCCTCGACCTCAGAAATCTGCCTGCCTCTGCCTCCCAAGTGCTGGGATTTAAGGTGTGCCCCACCACTGCCTGCCTGTGTGTTCTCAAAATAGATTTACAGAATTTCGTTTTGACTCCCAACTGCCATTTCCACCATGGCGGTCCTGCGCAGACCCTGGGCGGTCCTTCCTTCAGCTCATCTGTCGCTGTAGCTTCTTTGTACAGTTGTAACTGGAGAAGAAGTGTGTTTTGTAAAAACGCACAGATTATGCAACAGCATTATTGCGAATGTGTACTAGACATTTGGCATTGTCTAGTTTCAAACTAGAATTTCTGCAAATAGTGACTGTAGTGAGTGAGGTTTTTAAAAATACATTTATTTTATGTGCATTTTTTTGCATTATTCTATGTATCTGGTATCTGCAGAGTCCAAAAGAGAGTGCTAGACCACCTGGAACTGCAGTTACAGAAGGTTTTGAGTTGCCACATGGGTGCTGGGAACTGAACTCAGGCCCTCTGCAAGAGCAGCCAGAGAGCCAAGAGCTCTCTCTCCAGCCTTAGTGAATGGGTATTTTTTGAATGAGTGAATTTTTACATCTGAAGTGAAGTGTTAGCTCTCTGATTTTGTGCATGGTAGCTAATTCAACTTTGCTTTCCTTACTAGATGAACTCTCCCTGGAACACCACAGCCATCCTTTACACCCCTCAGAGTTCCTGCCAGAGACAAGCATTATGCACAGTGCTGCACAAGTGGCCTTATCAGAGACTGTTCCCGGGTCCCAGCCAAGCATCTCTGTCCTTGTCCTCTCCTCTCCATCTGCTACTGCTTTTGATACAGCCCTTTTAAGCCAGAGACAACAGACTCAAAGTACAGCGGAACACAGCGTCTTTGAGGCAAATTACGGGTCTGTGACGAGTAATGAGGTGGCCCTTGATGAGGAGGAGATGGATAACTTTTTGCCAGACGCTCAATGGACCTCTTCACGGGTGGTCTCCCCAGTGCAGTATAACACACCGAGCCCACCGGAGCCATCCCAGGAAATGCTGGAGCCTGGCACGACCCCATCACTACCCACCATTTCTTTGCAGGATGAAATGCAGTCCGGATGTCAGAACACAGCGCAACAGGCAACTGTATATGTGGAGCCGTCCACATATTTCGGCACTTCTTGGTCAGCTTTTCTCACGTCTACGGGCATCATTCCAACTCCTACTAGGAATTCGGTGCTTCATCCTACGGAAATTCACAGCCAGTTATCAAGCAAGGCTTTGCCAGAGACGATCGCTTCTGTAACAGAGGACACAGAAAACCTCTTTTCCAGCTCCTGGATTTCAGTGTCTCAGCCATCAGTTGATGGCATGACTCATCAGCCATCTGTTCTCCTGTGGGAGGTCTCACAGCCTCTAGTGGGTGTCCTGGCCACAAGCACAGACAGATACCCTAATGAGACCACTGCTTGGAGTGAACATCTAGAGGAAGCCATCGCTCTCAGAGCACACCCCAGCGTAACCACGTCACCCACAGACCCTGCTTTTAGTAGTCTGACTTCTGCTTTATTTTCAAGCCTGCTTTCATCTGTGTCCTTTGCTACCCAGTTACGTGGTGATCCAGATAACTCCTCCCTCTCGAGTGCGGCCAGGGAATCATGGTACAGCTCCACGGTCCCCCGTTTTACTGACCATCCTCATGTCCTGAGCCCCGAGGCTTCCCTGAGACCACACACGAGGTGTGTGTCTTGTATTGCCTCATCATCTCAGCAAGAACTGGTCAGGAGCCTCACAGAGAAGGAGATGGGATCAGGGGACAGGCTGGAGACTTTGTCTACTGCCTCAGTAGAGGCAACCCATCTTTCTCCATTGAGCAGCGTGGGCACGGACCTCTCTGAGCTTGAAGATCCTCAAGAATTTAATACGCTTTTCCCTTCCAGACCTGTGGTTTCCTTTTCTTCCAGATCTGTGGGGCTGTGGAAAGCCAGCACGGATGTGTCACCTGAGGTGGATGTGAGTGGCATTGCCACGACACAGGTGTACCCTTCCCACGGCCGCCTCTCCACACCCAACTCACTTGATTCGATTTTTGGCTTCTCTGTCACCAATGATCTAGTGATGTCATCCAGTGTGACCCATCTGTTATCCTCTGTCATCCCCAGCACCTATTTTGACTCATCTTTCTCCTTGACTGCAAATCAGAACACTCCATCCCTTCCAGCTGGAAACCCAAGCCTTCTTACCTCTTACAGTCTGGTCCCCTCAGCACAGTCTAACGTTTTCTCTGACCCAGCACCTACCAGCTCTCTGGAACTCGAGTCTGGAAGTCTTTTGGATTTCACATCCAGCTTTTACTCAACTCCGGCCCTGGACTTGAGCACTCCGGCTCTTTCACGGTCAGGCGCTCTTGCTTTTCCATCTTTGTTGTCAAGCGACCCACCAACCTTCTTTTCTCAAACTTTTTCCACCGTGGCTGAGACATTATCATTGTCCAACTCTATGAATTTGCAATCACCTCAGTTCTCTGTTCTTAATCCCACCAATCTAGAGCCGTCTCAGCCATGGTCAAGTGCAGACCTTCTCCTGAACACAATCGCTGTCCTTCCTAGTCATCCCGAGATGCCCCCACCTTCAAGCTCCCCCGCTGAATCTCTCAAGTCCGCCGAAGCATCGAGAGTTTCACTGAGAGAATCCAATGTTCATCTTACCTCATCTTTCTCTGAAACTACCTCTGCCTTTGAATTTTCACACATTCCTCATGAACCCACAGTCAGCACACAGGTGCCCTCCAGCTTGGAGCCCACCCTGGGCATCTCCACAGCTGGGACTCATGGGACATCACTGCCAACTGTTTTCCATTTGACACCCATTTTAACTGAGTCATCTCCATTCTTGACTCTGACACCGGCCGATGGCAGTGTGCATGTGACAGACCATCACACACCAGTCTTAGCTACATCCTCCAGTGTCATTCCAACCAGCACAGAATCGATCTCTGACCCGTACCTGTCAGCTTCCTCACCACTTGTTTCTGAAGTAAGCCCTTCACCTCCGCCCACAAAGCCAGTCATGGGCTCATCATTGACACCCACAGATTTACCACCCAGTACTTCCCCAGAACCAAGTACATCCCCAGAACCAATCGTGCCCAACACCAGCACAGCCCCTGGTGATACTGTGGACTCTGCTCTGAACAGCGAGCCTATGAGTCAGAACCCTCAGGGGAACAGTGCACCCCCTTCCCAACCCTCCCTCGGTCCTGTCACCACCTCCACGCTTGAAGCCACAGTTGGTACACCAGCACTGGCCACAGCCAAGCCGCCATATGTGTGTGATATTACAGTTCCCGATGTCTATTTGATCACAACTGGTAAGGCCCTGCTTCCAGTCACCTCTCTGAGGTAGAGGACTTCTCTGAGGTGTTTGTGTGCAGAATGACAAGACACCATTGTGGTTATGAGAGTAGGTGTTGGTCTCACATAACCTATGGGAGGTAGTTCCTCTGCTGGCCTCACGCTAGCTATCCAGTTACCCAGCCTCTCAATCTGCTTTCACAAGTGTTAAAGGGGGCCATAGTGATACTAGCCCATCAGGTTACTATAGAGATTTAAATGTGTAAGATACGCAGCACCTAGGAAGTGACCACACAAGATATCAGTTAGTAACTACCATAAGGTAGAAGAGGCTTGATTTATTCGTTTATCTGTTTCCTGTAGGCTGAATACTTTTCTTTCTTAACAAAATAATCACAAAGCAGCTTCAAACCTGTTGGTTCTAAAGACACTTGAAAAAGCGATTGTAAGCTTATAAGTTAGAAATCACGGTATTTATGATATAGTTAATGATGTGGCCCATTTTATAATTTTCTTCTGTAGATAATTAGAAGCTATTTCAGAAGTCTCTGGCTATCAGGTATCGCGTAGTATAATTTTTGGTTGTACGTGTGTTGTACTTTTAACGGCACTTGGCGTCCTTTATTTGAGTGCCTTTAACTGCTCTTGGCATCACAGAGTGGTTGTGCGCCTGCACCCAAGCAGTTGATAACCGGAGGAGCCATGTTTCCACACCGTTCTGGGCAGGCATCAGATCGTCTGCAGCCACATGTGTATTATCTTCTCTCTTCTTGGCATCTGTCTTCCAGGAAGAGAATCTGGACCAACATAGAAGGATTGATTGCTTGATTGATTGATGATTGCTTGCTTGCTTGATTGATTAAATGGCTCTCCATCATAATGTAGCAGAGCAGGGGTGTTGGTCTGTGATGACTTTAGGGGGACGCTTGGACTCTGATTTCCACTGAGGGGAGACAGGCATTGTTTGAAGGTCTGCATACCTCTCTTCTCTTGGCTTTGGAGAAACTGTTGATACAAACCAGTTTGTATGATACATGTTTCTGGCTTGGTTCCTATTCCCCGACTCACGTCCTCCTATCACAGGGTCGCCATCTCCCGTCTTCCTCCGATTAACCACAGAAGTTGGTAGTTATGGTGGTGGTCATCGGGGGCCATTGAGTAGCATTCAGCTATCTTGAGTGATTCCTTTAGGGGCACAAGGCCACTGGTAGTCTGCCCCTCCTGCCTCCATTGAGGTCTTCAGAGTTTGGTGTTCTGTTACACCTCACCTTCCCCACGTTTATCTCCTCTTGATTTCCCTCCTCCTTCCCTCAAGACCTTCCCAGTCATTTTGTTTTTCTGTTTATCAGTCATGGCATAGTCTGTCCAGTCAGAGGCTGGCAAGCCATGCCGCACTGGCTGTTGGAGGGATCAGGCAGACTGGACCATGAGTTTGTAATGACTCCATGAACTAAAGAGGTGACACTCCCACCTCTTCACCAGGTGTCACTCACTCACTGGAGAAACAATCAGACAGCTTAAGCCCTTGTTTTTATAATGAGCGGAGAGTGAGGAATGATTCTGTCTTAAGTTTTAATAATTAAAACAGGATAATGAAAAACTGAATAGTGGGACAAGAGAGATGGTTCAGTAGTTAAAAGAGTATGCCACTCTTGCAGAAGACCAGAGTTCAAGTCCCAGCACCCATGTTGGGTGGCCCACAGCTGCCTGTGACTCTACCTCCAGGAGGCCTGACTGACTTCTTTTGTTTTCCACAATCACCTGCACATGTGTGTAATCTACAGACACACACACACTGATACATACATATATATATGTGATATATTATAATTCTACATATGGACTGGAAGGGAAAGGAAAAGCACTGTATATTTAAATAGAAGGAGAGACATGCTAATTACTGGGGAACATACATACTCACTGGCACAGGCTTATTTTTTTTAATTTATTTTTAAAGATATTTTTAAGTACGGGTGCGTGCACATATGTGCATGTACGTAAGTGTGTGAGCACAGGTGTCTGTGGAGGTCAGGAGAGGGTGTTAGGTCCTTTGTATTTGGAGGTTGTGAGCTGCCTGCTGTGGGTGCTGGGAATTCAGCCTGGGTTGTCACCACAGAGTCAGCTCTTTAGCCCCAGTACAGGTTTTTAAATTCGGCTTTTAAATGAAAATTGAATAGAAAGAACTAGACTTTGGAAGGAGAAATATTTTCTACCCTGTATAAAATGTTATTACTTGGACATGATGAAGGGTTTTTCCGCTCATCTGTAGTGGTTAGCACTCCCGCCAGCTGCTTTGAACACTCAGTGCAGCTGCCCTCCTATGGAGGAAGATACCACCAGTTCATTGAATAGCATCTCAAGGACTTTACAAACATTACTTCTGAGAGCTTTTAAAGCCTCCTCCTTTGCTTTGGGTGCATAGCCGGAGACATTCCTTTATTTGTTAAAAAGGAAGTGGGAACTGGAAGCTCCTGCCCCCGGGTGGGCCACAGCTGCTCCCCGTCTTTCCAACCTTCTCAGTGCGATGGGTCGATGCTAAGCCCAGTTTTTCGTTTTCTGTAATACTTCACAGCACTTAGATCTTTCTGCTCTGTCCTTAGTATGGGCCTTATTTTTGAAAACAAGCTTCTAGCATGCTTCATCTCAGCCATGGCTTCCTGAAGTGGCACCTTCATGCTTCGTAATGGCACTAAAATGCGTCTGGTGGTTGGCTTTCATTTGTAGTGCTGGCCAGACGAGCCGTGCAGGAGTACATCATTACATCAATTAAAGAAGTGCTGAGAATTCACTTCAACCGCGCAGTGGAGCTAAAGGTGAGACCCCGAGCCTGGGAGCCTGACATCGGGCATGCTTTCACGGGGCGTGGTGAAACCCTGCACTTGGGGTTTACTCTCTCACTCCCCTCCCGGTACACTAATTTTCCTTGGCATCTCTGTTCACGTGTCATTCTACCCTGTGTGGTGGGGGATGCGTTTGTAGAATTGGAATAGTCTGTCAGACCAGAGACAGTATAGTTTCCGGCAACCTTAACAATGTTGCTATCCTTGACTTAATTTAAATAAGTGACTGGGGGTTATACTAGATTTCAGGGAGAGGCTACTCCTGTCTTTCTGTACGTTCAATACAGCTGAGATGGATTCCCCTACTCTGTTTATGTTATGCCCACTGATAGTATCCCCTTCCCAGATGAGCTCAGAAAGCTGTGCTCTAACTAATCCTGCTCCATGTCTAACCAGAGCCTGAGCCATACTGGCTTTGGAGCATGTTAAATGAGTGTGGCATGAGTTAGTAAGACGTGCAGTGCGTGTAAACTGCACGCCAGATCTCAAAACCGCACCAGATCAAGGAATATCTCACTAATAATTTTTTATACTGATTATACATTGGAATGCTGTTTTCTGTGTTAAGCGAAATGTATTTAAAATTAGCTCCCCCTGTTCCTCTACCTTTAATGTGGCTGCCATATACTTTGAAATTGTTTAAGTGGCTGTCATCATGTTATTTTAAACAGTCAGTCTTAGTGAGACAAAGGCTCCTATAGTTTATGTGTGGCTTGAACATGACAGAAATCTTGAGTTTTCCATAATTCACCATTCAACCCATATTACTGGCTGTCCTTTCTGGCTGCTCCTGTGCTGTTTCTGTAAAAGCTGGGATCATGTAAAAGGAATACATCAAATATAATCTTGATAATCTTTGAAGCATTTACCCTTCCATTTAAGCTGCTGGGTTGTTTTTTTTTTCCTGTCCAACATGGTTATCTCTAAGGTTGAATTGTCTTTTTAAAATTTTTTATTTCTCTAGGTCTATGAACTGTTCACAGACTTCACATTTCTGGTAACATCTGGTCCTTTTGTTTACACGGCGATATCAGTCATTAACGTTCTCATCAACAGCAAACTTGTGCGTGACCAAACTCCTTTAATCTTGTCTGTGAGACCGTCTTTCCTCGTGCCAGATCCTAGGTTTCAAGTTCAAACAGGTGAGACAAATGAGTATAGAGGTTTGTATTTGTATGTAGAACTTTATTGTATATTTATAATAATATTTATTATTTATAATATTTATATTTATTATATATATAATTTATTTATTTTTAAATTGGAGATGATGTGTCATTGAGATGGCTCAGCAGGTGAAGGTGCTTGCTGCCAGGCCTGAGACCTGGGTTTGATCCGGGAACCCACATGATAGAAAGGAGAGAACCTTTAGGTTGTCCTTTTGTTTCTACGTGCTTGTGCGCACATGCTTGTAGACACACATACAGTAAATATAAGAACTGAGGACTGAGTCCACATGTAGTGCATAGACATGCAGACAAAACACCCATCCATACCCATAAAAATAAATACAATCTTAAAAAAATTAAAGTGAGTATTGTTCTTAATTATTCATTTATTTGTTGAGACAGTCTTGCTGTGGACCTGGTCTGGGCCTGAGCTTCTGGTTTTCAGCAAACCATCTGACTTGGCCTTCTGAATAGCTATGACTTCTTTGTCCATGGGCCACTTTCTGCAGCCCAGCCTGTCACTAACGACAATAACAACATTTTTATGATTATGGAAAAAAGTCAAGCATACACACAGGCACACAATGTAGTTTAATGAGCCCCCATGTGCCATCATATGGTCGCAACAGTTTTTCAGTTCCTTTTGTGTGTGTGGGAACACGTGTACAATATGTGCACATTTGGGTGGAGGCCAGAGTGCGGCCTTAGGGATTATTCCTCAGGTGCTGTCCCCTTCGTTTTTTGAGACAGGATATCTCACCGGCCTGGAACTCAGCAGCGAGGCTGTCTGCCTGCCTCAGCCACCCCAGCGCTGTAATGATGAACCAGCACTCCTGCTTTTTAAATGTGGGTTCTGGGGGTGGATCCCAGGTCCTCCTACCTGTAAGCCACGTTGATGTATTGATCAAACTGTCTCCTTATCCTAATAATTTTTAATTCTTAGATTTTTTCCTACCTTCTCTCCCAACCACTTCTCTTTATTTTATGATAAATCTTAAGGACCATATCACTTCACTCCTGTGTTTCAGCCTGTACATCTATGAGGAAAGGACTATTAAACACAGATGCACATCTGTCCATATCCTCACTCCCTAAAGTCAACCATAATTGCTTAATATCTTACTTAACCTTTTACTGTAGACATTTTTAATTGTGAACAAAAGTGCATAACATTACATTCACATGTTTATTAATAAGCTTAAAAGTTAATCAAGATTTTTTTTTACCAGTTTTCAGCAAAATTGGTAAAACTTTTTTGAAGACGCAAGAATGTTTTAATGTGATGCCAGATGTCATGTCATTTTATGTACGTGTACTTAATAACGCTTCTGTAGAGAATATTATACGTCTGAAATGTTTATGAGTTACATCTTCTGATGTGTAGACTTTTAACTGGATTTAAACTCCCGGTCCCAAGTGATTTTTCTGGCTCTGCCTTCTAATTCAGTGAGCCCGCAGGCATGCCAATCACCTTCAGGTTGCATGTGTTCCTGTGTTTGGTTTCTTACATTCTACCACACAGAACTTTGAAATAATGCGACTCATCCGTGGCTCAGAAAGCAATCAGTCAACATCAAACTGTAACCTGAGGAAGTAGTTGAGTAGCCCTGTCTCAAGAACTTGGCCTGTTGAGCAGGCATACAGGTCTGCTAGCTTCTCCCCCAGAGATGCCCTCAAAATAATTGAGCTTTGCCACCCTCTTCCCAGCAGAGCTTCCTGTCCCCCTCAGACCTTGACTGTCACCCTGCCATATTACCAGGAGTGTTGTGGTTCGCCCTTCATGACTCATTGGGGTAGCCTTGCCCCCAAACATCCTGTGTAAGCTGGCATGTACCCCACAGTTGGTGTAGTCTGTAGTCTTTGCAGCCTAGGCCATTAAGACACTTGGAGACCGAGCCTGTGCTGATTATAGGTGACGTTTTGCAGACACTGTACCTGGAACAGCAGTGTAATGTTTCCGACTGGTGCCTCAGGGCACACGGCAGGGGAAAGCCATCCTATGAAATTGATAGAAGTGGTACTGGAGAGATGGCTCAGCAGTCAGGAGTGCACGCTGCTCTTAGAACGTGAATTTGACTCCCAGCACCTACATTGTGTGGCTCACATTTGCTGTACGGCAGCTCCGAGGAATCCAGTACCCTCTTCTGGCTTCCACAGGCACCTGTATCCCTCGTGTGCACTCTCACAATTAAATATAAAGCATATTAGGAAAAAATAGGGAATGAATCCAGTAGGCATACAAATATTAATATAGGGACACACAAGGTGGATGAAGAAACAAGATACTGTGGTACCTTGAAGAGAACACAGTAATGTTTAGTGATAGACCCTAAAGAAAAAAAGAAATTGATGGATTTTTTTTTTTTGGAAAAGAAAGAAGAAAAAAATTTTAAATTAAAAAATGTTCATACTCCCGAGTGATCTGTAGGTTCATTGCAATTCCTGTGAAAATACTAGTGGCATTTTTTCCATAGGCATAAAGTTGTGGGGAGTGCTTTTGAAACTTGTATGGAATCCAAAGCAAAGCAAAAACCCCAAAGAGAACAAATATAATAGGCTGATTAAAAAAGAATTCTAGAGACATTATAATACCCGATCTTAGAATATTCTACAAAGTGATAGTAACCAAACGGTCATGGTGTCGCAGAAGAGCAGATATTGAGACCAGAGTGTAACAGAAAGTTCAGAAACAGACTCACTGATTTGTGACAGAAGTAACAAGAAAATATATTGATGAAAACAGTCTCAGAAGCAAAATGACAAAAGGAACGTCATCCTTTGGAAAGTGTCACAATAAGATGCACAGGCTGTGCCGCCCGCCACTGTGGCTCCAAGGCCTGCCACCTTCAGATGTCGACTTGTGGCAAATGTGGCTACCCTGCCAAGTGCAAGAGAAAGTATAACTGGAGTGCCAAGGCTAAGAGACAAAACACTACTGGGATTGGTTGGATGAGGCACCTAAAGATTGTCTACCCCAGATTCAGACATGGTTTCCGTGAAGGAACAATGCCTAAACCCAAGAGGGCGGTTGTTGCAGCCTCCAGTTCATCGTGAGGATCTCAATCAGTCATAAAATAAATGTTCTGGTTTAAAAAAAAAAAAGAAAAAAAAAACAAAGAAAGAAAGGAAGCAAGCAAGCAAGCAAGCAAGCAAAGTCTCTTCAGTAAACCACATAGGGAAAACTGGATGTCTTTGTAGAGGAGGGAAAAACAAGACCTCTCTCAGCATACTCAACAGTTCTCAAAGCAGAGACCAAAATGTAAGATCTTAACCTGTAAAGCATGTAGGAAACACTGAAGAAGTGCTTTTAGGATATTGGTCTGGGCAAAGTTTTTTTTGGGGGGGATACAACCACAAAAGTATATGTACACAAAGCAGAAATTGAGCAATGGATCACTTTAAGTTGTTTTGTACAGCATCAGTAACCATGAACAGAGTGAGGAGACACCCTACAGAATGAAAGAATATATACAAGGCATTCATTTCCAGAATATGCAGGGAACTTAGACAACCGAGCAACAAACACTTTAAGTTACCTGATTTTAAAAGCAGGCAGGTTGAGGAGATGGCCTTGTAAAGGGCTCGATGTGTAAGCTGAAGACCTGAGTTGCACGTCTGCGAGAAGTTGAGTGGGAGCTCTGTAACCCCAGCAGTGGGAACACTGATACAAGAGGACCCCTGGGGGTCGCTAACCAGTCAATGTCCTGAGTCACCATGGTTCAGAGTCAGTGAGATACCATGTCTCAAAATTCAGGTGTGAAACAATTGAAGAAGACTCCTGATGTTGACTTCTGGCATCCATATGCATGTGTCCACATGTGCACACCCCTCCCCTGTACTCGTCACACACACCATGGGAAAATGACCACCATAAACGTTTCTTGAAGCAGGATATACAAATGGCCAGTAAAGAGATGAAAAAATGCCCAGCACCACTAATCAGAGAAATGTTCATCAAAACTATAATGAGATAAAAGATGGCACTAGCCAATTCTGACGAGGATGCAGGGAAAGGTGATTTCACACATGCTGTGTTTTCTTTTAGATTATGTGTGTGTGTGTGCGTGCATATGTATTTTATTTTTTTGGTAATTGTGCATATAACCATCAGCCTTTCTACCCATGTCCCAGCTCCTGAATAACGACTTGGAGGCTTATTATTTATGAATAAGAGCCTAGGCCTTGAGCTAGGCTTGTTCCCATTAGCTTGTGGCTTATCATCCCATCTGTACTAATCTAAGTTTCTGTGGCTGGTTACCTCTCAGTTTCATACATCCAGCTTCCTCCGTGTCTGAGTGGTGAATCCTCCTGTGCCTCAGTCTATCCCAGAGTTCCTCTCTCTCTCTCTGCTGGATGTCCCACCTTCAATTCTACCCCTTGCTATAGACCATAGGCTATCTAACCTATCAGAAGGTGCAAGGAAGCACAGAGACAGATCTTATGTAATGCAAATAAACATTATCCTTCCATCTCCCCCTTGTAGTCCAATAAAAGGTCCTTCACTAACGTACACGTGCACACACATGTGCATGTGGGTGCCACAGCGTGCCTGTGAAGACTAGAGGACAACTTGTGGCATTAGGTTCTCTTCTTCCACCATGTAGTTTCTGTCTTAGGGTTTTACTGCTGTGAACAGACACCATGACCAAGGCAACTCTTATAAGGACAACATTTTGTCGGAGCTGGCTTACAGGTTCAGAGGGTCAGCCCATTGTCATCAAGGTGGGAACATGGCAGCATCCAGGCAGACATGGTGCAGGAGGAGCTGAGAGTTCTACATCTTCATCTGAAGGCTGCTAGCAGATACTGGCTTCCAGGCACCTAGGGTGAGGGTCATAACTCCACGCCCACAGTGACACACCTACTCCAACAAAGCCACACCTACTCTAACAGAGCCACACCCAGGGCTACTCCCTGGGCTAAGCATATACAAACTATCACAGTTTCCCAGGGTCACACTCAGATCATCAGGGTTAATGGCAAATGGTCTTACTCATTGAGCCATCTTGGTGGCCCTGACTTGTTTCTGTTTTTAACAAGTATGTATTTATCTGTGTGTTCATGCATGTGTTTGCAGTGAATTTATATGCACCACAGAGGCCAGAAAGCATCAGATGCTCTGGATCTGGAGTCACAGGATGTTGTGAGCCACCTGACCTGTGTTTTAGGAACCAAACCCAGGCCCTCTGCAAGAGCAGTAAGGCTTTTTGTCAACCACTAGGCTCTCTCTCCAGCCTCTGCTTTTTGTTTGTTTGTGTTTGTTTTTGAAGACAGGGTTCAGACGAATCTCACTTTCATCCACTGATCCTATCATGTTGATTACACAGATATTATAGAAAGCTAAAAGTTTACTATATAATCCAGGAGTCTCATTGCTGTATATAAATACAACGACAAAGTTAGTATGTTGAAGAGATATCACTTGTGTATTTTTATAGCTGTATTCACAGTAGCAAAATAGGCAGTCTCCCTATGTGTTTATTGACGGATGGATAGATGAAGAATTGTAGCACACGCACATAAATGAACATCAACCACAAAGAACAAAACCCCTCTGTTTGCACGCATGGAACTGCAGGACATTATACTAACTGAACTATCAGAAACAGAAAGCCGAATGCCACATGTTCTCACTTAACTTGTGGAACTGGATCGGAAAGTGGGGGGTAGAAGAGTGATTTCCAGACAGAATTTGGGGAGGAAAGGTAGAGGGGGGAAGGGCTAAATCTCCCAGCATGCAACTGCCTAGGAGGAATTATTCTGTGTCTTGTGACACAGTAGGAGAAATGTGGTTGACAGCCATTGGCTGTATATTTATTTTTTAAAAACCTTTATTTTTAATAAATTAATTGTCTTAATTGTCAGTGTTCTGCCTGCATCTGTCTGTGCACCGTGTGTGTGCAGTGCCCCCAGAGACTGGAAGAGAACGTTGGATCCCCTGGGGCTAGTTGTGAGCTCCCACGTAGATTCTGGGAACTGAACCTGGGTTCTCCAGAAGAACAATCAATCAGGGCTTAACCTCTGAGCCATCTCTCCAGCCCCCAGCTGTATATTTCAAAATGGCCAGTAGGGCTGGTTTTGAATATTCCGAACACAAGTAATAAGTTTCTGAGCAACAGATACATCATTGTGTGCATGTGTTAAAATGTTACACTATAATCATAAATATACAGAAGAAAGAAAACAGACCCCTGCCGTCTATCACCACTACTGTGTTAACTAGGAACAAAAAGTATGTCTTACAGGGCTGTCTTTAAAACAAACAAACAAACAAACAAACAAACAAAACAACTGGGCGAAGAGAGATGGCTCAGCTGTTAAGAACACTGGGATTCAGTTCCCAGCACCGACATGGTAGCTCACAACCATCCGTAAATTCAGTTCCAGAGGATCCGATGCCTCTTCTGGCATCATTGCACCCATGAAGTACAGACATACATGCAAGCAAAACACCCATACACATAAAATAAAAACAAGCACATATTAAGAAACAGAAGAAATGAGACCCCATGGTGCTTGATCTCAGCCAGCGGATGAGTTGGTTTGTTTCAGTACTGTCCCTCCCTTCATTCCTAGTCTAAGCAGAAGCTCGCTCATGGGACTCCCATTGCTGTCTTTCTTTATAGTGCTTCAGTTTGTGCCTCCGAGTGTGGATACTGGCTTCTGCAACTTCACTCAGAGCATTGAGAAAGGCCTGGTGACAGCTCTCTTTGAAGTGAGGAAACACCAGGGGACATATAACCTCACAGTACAGGTGAGAACACCCCCCCCCCATAACCCCCACTCGTGCATACACGTTTGCACACACACACACACACTGCAGAGGGCAGAGAGTGCTGTCCTCCACCTTGGTTCATTCAAGATGCATTCTCCATGCTGGGCGTATTGTCACACACCTTACATCCCAACACTTGGGAGGCAGAGGCAGGTGGGCCTCTGTGAGTTCAAGGCCAGCCTGGTCTACAGAGTGAGTTTCAGGACAGTAAGGGCTACATAGTGAGATCCTGTCCCTGGGGGAAAGGAAAAGAAAAAGATGTGTCCTCCAGTGGAGAGAAGCCAGCTCATGTGGTCCAAGGCTGACCTTTGGCAAGGTATGGGGTCTGTAGCGTGACTTCAGAGTGACTGCAAATTGGGGAATTAGAGTGAGTTGAGGAGATGGTCGTATGCAGGCAAGTCAAGAATGTTCCCCATAGGAATGATATTAGCTGCACAGTCAGTGAGACAGTGCCTGAACACATTATGCTTTTCCAACAGGTTGAGTAGCGTGGATCTGAAAGGCTTGGTGCTGGGTTGTTTGAGGTGACAATGCTTTTGGATTCATTTGGAGTACGTTGCATAGACTTTACTCACTGGGTTTCTCTAACCTGAAAATAGGAAATGATCCAAAACCTAAAACCATCTGGGCATCCGTATAATGCTCTGAAAGTTTTGGACTTTGGTGCACTTCAGTCTTCATGCCAGAGATGCTCTACCTGTGTCAGCGGGGCTCTTTGGGCTGCAGCGTCTCCGTCTAAACACAGAGGAGGATGCTTTTGATCAGCAGACTGGCTTCATGTGTATTCTGTTCAAACCGCTGTGTTTTATGACCCCCTCCCCGTTCTTTGTCCCCTTTCTGAAATGTCTGTTAACTATAGACTTTGGCACTCCTGAATCCACCTCTTGTGCTTCTTAGTTTTCCTCCATGTGGTATGGATCTTTTCGTTCTCTGTTAGAGATTTTGGAAAGTCTGTCCTCCGCATCACTAATTTTGCCTTCAGCTGTGTCCATTTCTACTGAGATTTCTGAGTAGTCATTTCCCCATTGCTCTTTGTTCCCTTTTCATTACAACCTTTTCCTGAGATGTGAGAGAGTGGCCTTCAGGGTCTCTCAGGACATTAAGTAGGATTTTAAAAGGTTTTCTTCTATTTCTTCTATGTTGTTCTTACATATGTCTGTTTTCTCTGAAGTATTGTTCTGTATGCCAATCTTTGTGCTTTGCTTTTGTACTGTTTTTTTTTTTCCTGTGTCTTGAGGCCCTTGGTTGGTTGGTGGTGAGGATGGAGAACTGAGTTAGTTATGGCTGCTGGCCTGGCTGTCCCCTTTGGCTATGGAGGTTGCTTCTGTGTCAGCCCCGTCTCCTGACGGGAGAATTCATGTGAGCTTGGGAGCTCGGTAGCATGTACCAGAATACACCAAAATGCAGGGTTCTGTCTACAGCACTGCACAGCCTGTGGTTAGAGACATAGGCAAACTGGCCCTGCCCTGTGTCAAGCTCAGGAGGCCCTGCTCTGGGGACAGATCCCTGCTGAGTGTTTTCATGGCACGGACTCCTCTCCTTTCTTTTTCAGTCCTCTTCTGTGTCTTGTATGCTCTGGTGTGCACTGGAGTTTAACCGGTCCTGCCCTCCTTGTGGACAGTCTTAACCCACAAGAGGCCTTTGGTCTCCTCTGGGAAGGGCTTGTTTTCCTTAGATGACAGTTCTTTGGGCTGTTCTAGGAGATGGCACTGCTGGTGCCTGAGTTGGCCTGGGTGTGGAGCTGGCAAGAAGATGAAGGCTCAGTTCACTCTTGGTATGAAACCTCTTAATTAGCTATACTGATTTCTGCTCTGTAACCTACTTCTGGTGTCAGGTCCTCTGACCTCTCCCCGGGGCCTCTCCAGGCCCTCACTTGTGAGTGAGGCTGTTTTAGCCTCTGCTTGTGTGTGTTTAGGGTCTTGATTTTCTCAGTTCTGGTTTATTTCAGCACAGTTCTGTCCTTTCTCCATCTTCTAGAATTTGACAGACCTCTGGTTTTCCTCCATTCTCCGTGCTGTGTGGATTTACTGCCCTTTGTTCGGCTTACTGCTATTTCTGTGGGATTTGGGGCTGGGGAGGGGTGGAGGGGGGAGGGACTGTAAATTCTCGAATTCAGCTTTGTCACTTAATGTTAAAAAAACCAAAAAACAAAAAACAAAAAAACAAAAAAAAAACCATTTCCAGTAAACTGAGTGTTTAAAGTCTCACAGAAAGGGAACAAGGTTAGAAAATCAGTTCCCTTTCCTGTTAAAACTTTACCTCCTTTTGAGTCAGGCTTGGAAACACATGTCTGTAATCCCAGCACTCTGAGGTAAGAAGTTCTAGGTCTGGGCAGTATAGTGAGACAGCATCTTTAAAAGCCAAAACAAGATAAACCATTCCTTCACTTTATCCCCTTTGAAGAACACTGATCAGAGAACTCGTGATAGATGTCACAGTCAGGCCTTCAGCTCTATGTGTTATTCTAGAAGCTTCTTCTGGCTTCCTTCTTTCAGATTGTGAATGTCACCATTGCTTCTTCGAGGGTGGCTCCCCGGAGGGGCCCAGTGAATATTATCTTTGCTGTTAAAGGCTCGCAAGGTTTTCTGAATGGGTCGGAGGTGAGCGATCTACTGAGGAACCTGACGGTGGTGGAGTTCAGCTTCTACCTGGGGTACCCGGTGCTGCAGATAGCTGAGCGTGAGTACTTAGTGGCCCCTTAGGGGCCCTGGGGAAGGGGCTGCCAGCATTTTTGTTGGTAGATGTCTACTTTAAAATAATGTTAACTTTAAAAAGAGACTTGGTTGTTCTAGGGTGCTTTTCGGCTCATAGTAAGCAGGGTCTGCATGGAGAGGATTTTTCTCATGTTCCAGCTCCCTCACACATGGAAAGTCCCTTCCACAATGTCCCATTGACCACACTAGTGGCCACACACTGACACTGTCCCCCCCCCCCCGCCCTCTTTAGGGTTATGGTAGGGCGCACTCTCCGTATAGCACTCTTCGTGGTTTAAATGAATGTTTAGTACTATGTACCTGCATTCGTGTGTCAAGCACAGTAGGTTCACTGGGACCTCCTCCCCACCCCCACCTCCCCACCCCGGGATGTATTTGACTGAACTTCAGAATAAAGTCAGGACTTCTCAAGTCCAGCCAGGGCAGGCTCCAGAGTCCTTCTCTGCCCCTGCACCTCCCTTTCCTGTTTGCTTTTGAGAATAAAGGGACTCTATATGTAAACAGTACGCTGGTTCTCCTGAAACTCTAGGGGAGCAGCTCGACTCAGGGGGAAAGGTGGCAAGGATATTTAACTACAAAAGGGGGGCAGAGGTGATTTTGGAGAGGCGGGGGCTAGGGAATGGAACCTCCTGGGTCCGTACTTGATGGTGCTTATGCAATGATGTATTTTCCCAAACCTATGAAACTGGATAGCAAAAGAGTAGATTTTATTGTGTATTAAGATAAAAAAATAAAAAAGTAATAAATGAAAACAGAACCTTACTTCCTGGTTGAAGCAATCAGATTTCCAGGCAGTTTGAAAGAAGTGGGAATGCCTACTTCAGAAAGCAATACATTCCAGAGCAAGCTGGCCTAGAACTCAGAGATCTGCCTGCTTCTGCCTCCTGAGTGCTGGGATTAAAGGTGCGAGCCACCATGCCCTGCTTAAATCATGATTCCTAATGCTTTTCAATATACTGTTAATTAAAGTAAGAAGAATAAACTATAAAACATGAAAGTAATGGGCTACAGAGATGGCTTAGTGATTAGAGCACATACATAATGCTCTTGCAGAGGACCCATGTTTAGTTCCCAGCAGTTGCTTCTGACACCCCTTTCTGGTCTCTCTGAGCACTTACGCTCACACGTGTACAAAACTACATAAAAGCTCACATATGCACACATGATTAAAAATATACCATAAAACATACGTGTGTGTGTAGATAAGAATGCAGTTATTTATAAGCAACAATTTTGATTTTGTTTAATATATGTACATACAGCTAAAATAATAGTCTGAGCAAGAGTACACAGAGACAGCTCCCAGCAAGCCCAAACATGTTTCCCTTTACACTGCGGCATTGCTGAGAAAGCCCTTGGCTCTGCAGAACACAGCTTGCAAATGCTTTGCTCTAGAACAATACACACAGGAGATGTTACAGTGACCTTGTGTGATACAGTGGGTCAGTGATGAGGCTCGGGAAGCCCCTTCCTCATCCTTCCTTTTATGGACAAGGTGCTCAGAAACTGATGCCCGCCCACCCCCACACTTGCAGTATTTTGCCGTCTCCTACAGCGCTATCATGGAGGAAGGATAATGTGTTATGATTTATCTCACATTCCCAGGACACTTACTTACTCTCCTGACCAGTGAAAACATGTTTCTTACAGATTTTTCTCCCTCTCTGACTCTCCTTTCTATAGCCTTCCAGTACCCACAGCTCAACTTATCTCAGTTACTGAAGTCCTCTTGGGTCAGAACAGGTATGTTCAACTTACGTAACACTTGAAGAGCTAGACAACATGAAGTCCAGGAGGGCATATGGGGGTTGACATGCCCCTTCTCTTTCCCAAATCAGGACAAGATGTACTTTAAATTCTTGGCAGAGAATGAACGAGAAATGGGATTCGATTTGGGCCATAGGAGTGTGTCCTGCTGGGTTATGGCACAGAAAGAGCTTCTTTTAAAATTCATACATCAACTCCTGGGTAGAGTCTACCCGAGCCCGCAGTCACCTGACCTGAGACAGGGTGGTGCTCAAAGGCAAGGGTATTTTTCTTCTGAAAGTGCTGTCTAGATGGATAAAGTAGTTTGGGGATTCGGCTTAATTATTTAGACAGACTTGGGCACATTCAAGTTGATACGGCCATAGATAGACTGAGGTCGTAACATTTCAGTGCAAGGCTCTCTGTCTGGTCCTGGAACTCTAAGAGACAGTGACGCAGTCCCAAGTCTCAATGTGCAAACAGCCAGTGACCAGTCATAAGGAAAGAGTGGGTTTAAGTAGAGCTAGACACCATTCGTGGGGCTCAACGCTTGTCAATTGCGCTGGGCTCTAAAGCCTTGTGTGGGGTCAGCTCTTTGCCCATTGCATAGTGTTCATTTTCCAGACCTCAGAGTGTTGAACTGACTTACCCAGAGTTGACCTCAGAGAGAACTGAAGCCAGTTTGGCTGGAAGTGCTGATATCCCCATCAACCAAAGGATAAGCTGACTTATCTGTTCAGATACTTTTGTCTGATAAGGATAGCAAGAAGAAAGCAGATCGCCTCTGTACGAGGGAGATTGTAAGTCCCGGTCCAAAGACAAGATAAGAACTCAAAGTATCCCAGACTGACAAGATACTTGTCTGATCTTAGGTAGATGCTCTGTATTCAGAGCTCCTACAGCGCTGAGTTCCTGAGCCTGCTCGTCTTCAGTTTGCCATGGACTAGGGCCATTTTGGGGACCTTTACCTGTCTAGGGGTTTGTGATCCTCTTGTACTGATCTTTGCACGTTCACACATCCTGTGGCCGTCCCTGTCTGTGCTAACTTATTCTGAGTGCTTTGTGCTTCTCGCTGAACACAGTCCTCCTGGGTGTAGTGGAGAAGCAGCTCCACAATGAAGTGTTTCCAGCCGAGATGGAGCGGAAACTGGCCCAGCTGCTCAGTGAGGTGCCCACCAGAAGACGCATGTGGCGGAGGGCCACCGTAGCTGCTGGGAACAGCGTGGTACAGGTACTCACTGAAGGAGGGTTGGGAGCAGAGGAGAAGCCCACTGGCTTTTTTTTTTTTCATGCAAGTGGGGAAATCCTGATATAAAATGACAGTGCTACTGAGTGTGGCAGCCTCGCAAGACAACTGAAGAGTCCAGACAGAGACCTTGGCGATTGGTTGGCTTAGTCCTGGACTGCAAGGAGTGTAGTAGGAGACTTACCACTGGGGTTCCTGTACTATCATAAGGCTTTGGTTTTTGAAGAGCAAAATTTTAACTCACCAACAGCTGATCTTGTTGTATGGCACCGGTGAAATCTTAGAAAGGAGTCACTGACTGGGGACAGTCGTCAGCAGACAGAAAGGGGCATTTTCTGTACTTGAGGACAGTCCTCAGAAGGCAGAGAGAGGGGCGTTTTCTTCCCTTTGTTCAGGCATCTCACCCTCCCCACCTCCTGCCAGCCTGGTTGTCTTTTGTTACCCCTAAATTGTCTTCACTCTGGGGACTGGGCAGACAGGCCACAGAAGCAGATTTGTTTGAATTGGAAAATGACCTATTTTAAAAAGCACATAACTCACAGAACATTGGAGGCGGGGCTGTTATTTAATCCTGACTCTGTGTGAATGGTGTGAATTTCTTTCTTTACCACTTACAGACTTGGAAGATCACAGGAAAACGGGGCTCATAGAACATTTTAGAAACACAAAACTGGGGTGAAACTCAGCAGTGAAGGGTGACTGGTGGGCAGGGGAGGGGGTGTCGGTGTTGAGAACAAGATATGGAAGTGACATGGGCGGGCCAAGATGCAGGTATTGCCTAGAAATAGCATCCATGTCTCCCCCACCCTCACCATGCACCCCTCTCAGACTTGTTTGCTGTTCCTTATCCAGAAACATGGTCTCTTAGGTTCCCCAAATAGTTCCTTTGCCAGATACACTTATACTAGGGAAGTTTACAAGGCAGTAAGATTTTAAATATTTATTTATAATTATGTATATGTGTGTTCACATCAATGAAGGTGCCTGTTGGATGCCTCTGAAGCCAGAGTTAGGGTTGACTGTGAGCCACCCAACATGGGTTCTAAAAATTGAACTTGGGTCTTTGAGAGCAATACATGCTCTTAACCACTGAGCCGTATTTCTAGGCCAAATTATTAAGAAAAAAATAAAAAACCTGATAAATAGAAAAAGAAAGGAGGAAGCACTAATAAATGCAATCATTAAATAAACATACAGCAAATAGAGATTAAAATAAATTGTGAAGGTCTTGCCTTATTGAGTAGCTCATAGCCTCATACAGGTCAAGGGCTGAGTTTGCGGATAAAGCAGCTGCAGAGAAGAAACCTGAGTGATTAGGTATTAAACTGGATACACACATCTGGATACACAGGTAAAAATATCACATCTGTGGGGGTCAACTGAGCCTTCTCAGACCAGTGCCACCTAACACATTGCCCAGAGGCCACTCTCGTTTCTGGTGTCCTTTAGCATGACCAAACATGTGTAATAATACCAAAGGCGTTGTGTACAAAAGTACCTGAACCTTATTTGTGACCATGAACACTGAACAAGGGCTTGTGAGATGGCACTTGTCACCAAGTCTGATGACCTGATTTCAGTTCTCAGGTATCTCATGGTAGAAGGAGAGAAACAACCAATTCTGCAAGTCATTCTCCTACTTCCACCTGCCCAAGGAGGGCCAAGCCTGGGCTACACAGACAGTGCCAGGCCTACCTAGGTTACAGAGGGAGACCTTGTTTTCTCTCTACTACAAGAATTAATAAAAGAGATAAGAAATATTGAGCTAACATAGCTGTCTAGGAATTAGGAAATGGGTAAAGAACAAATCTTTATGTATTAGAGTATTTTCTAGCCATTAAAAAAATTAGTCCTATAGAAATGTGCTCTGGGGGCTAGAGAGATGGCTCAGTGGTTAAGAGCACTGGCTGCTCTTCCTGAGGTCCTGAGTTCAATTCGCAGCAACCACATGGTGGCTCACAACTATTGGTAATGGGATTTGATGCCCTCTTCTGTCATGCAGTAATACATAATTACTGAAAAAGAAGAAAGGAAAAGAGATGTGCTCTGGTGAAATGCACTGGAGAGAGAGACAGAGACGGGGGGTGAGGGGGGTGGGGGGGGAGAGCAAGAAGAACAATCCTCATAGTAACAGAGCATTCACAGGAAACACACTCAAATCTTTAGAGGGGTTTTATTTGATTGAATTTCAAGAGGTTTTCATTTTATCCTTTATAGTCTGTTACGAATGCTTTTCAAAGTCTCTTCATTGGGTCATATCATTTGTATAAGGTGCACACACTTGTTGTCACCCCCATGGTTGACTGGGAGATACCTTATATATTGTGGTTCCTGATATAAATCCGATTAGTCACCATCCAGAAAGAATGCTGGAGTTAGACTTTCTGATGGCTCCTTCCAGACTGGACAGCTCGCAGAGTCTTTTAATCAAAGTAGCCACCACTGAGAATGAGATTTCTATAAGAAGAAACTGTAGCTTCTACATTCCCTGGACTTTTTAGTATAAAAGTTGTAAGTGGAGACAGCTGTGATCTACTTAAGTTTTCGATGGTCCTTGCATACCATCTCATTCTCCAGCTAATACAAGGTGACCAGGGTGGTGCAGTGACGCCTGGAGCCTAGTAGTGGGCGTGGTTAGGAAACTGGACCTCAAAAGAGCAAGCAGAGGCCAACAAGTAAGCCCTCCCAGGACTAAGTGTTCTTAAAGCTTCAGAGGTTGGCCCCTCCAAGTGAAATGCTTTGCTAATGTGATGCTCTTTTGTATCAGATGTACAGGATTCTGGTTAAAGGTAGGCTAGCTCTGGCTGACTTGTAGGATCATACATTCACAAGGCACTTGGCATGCCCAGAGATGCTTTCAGCTAGCACTTTGGATGGCAAGGGGAGGGGGGCAGTGGTTTCTGGTATGTAGTAGACAGAGCCTGGGGATGAGGCTAACCATGCTGCAGTGATACCCACGTCAAAGAGTGAAGAACTCACTAGCTATACACAACAGTGGAGCCAAGCAGGACATTTGAGTAGACTCTGAAAGAGATCAGGTAGAACCACTCCCACCTAGGGGAGAGCAGTACACTCATGACGTGGCGGGTTTGTCGCTTACAATTTCAGGCAGCCTGGTGCTGTTCTGTGCATGTTTTTGGCTCCTTTGTCTCCAAGAAAACATTAAATCAAAGTACAGTTGCCATTGTACACAGAGAAGCTTTCATTTTAACATTCTCCACCCGCAGAGGACAGTGGGGATCCTCAAAATCCAGATGTGGTAGTGAGCTTTTTAAGAGAGCCGGGACACATCCCAAGTCACACACTAGGGACCTCCATGTGCCCTGAGAAGGGGCATCTGGCGTTGCGAGCTTCCCCGATGCTGATGGACTCTGTGCTCTCGAAGGTGGTGAACGTGTCCAGGCTGGAGGGAGACGACAATCCGGTACAGCTCATCTATTTTGTGGAGAATCAAGATGGCGAGAGACTCAGTGCAGTCAGGTCTGCAGATCTGATCAACAAGGTAGACCTCCAGAGGGCAGCCATCATCCTGGGGTACCGGATTCAAGGCGCCATTGCCCAGCGTAAGTCCGAAGCCGCCTGTGTTCTAATAGTGAACTGAACTACAGCATCTGACCCGTGCTGGTTGTTGATGTCCATTTGCTGAGACTTTCTTGTGTTTTTCTTAAGTTTATTTATTATTGCTCTATGTTTTGTGTGTGCACATGTGTGTGTGTATATGTATGTGTGTGCACATGTGTGTGTATGTGTGTGTGCATGTTTGTGCATGTGTGTGTACCTATGTGTGTTTGTACATGTGTGTGTGTACTTGTAAACATGCCATGGTGCATGTGTGGAGATCAGAGGACAACTTTTGTAGAGTCAGTTTTTCCCTTCCATCTTTATGGAGTTCTGGGGTCCCAGCTCTGGGTATCAGACTTTTGTGACAAGTACTTCACTTGCTGAGACCTTCTTTATTTTTATTTCCATCTGTGTGACCGTGGTCCTGCTGTCTTTTTTCCCACCTCACACCTCATATTCATGGAGTTGCTAGTAAGTCACAGAACCTTATATCAACATGAACACCCTTTGCCCTACCCCGTACCAGTTTTCATTTAAAAATCCATTTTAGGTAAAATAATATACCTATTCTGTTTTTATTCCAAAACCTTCCATGTCCTGCCCTGCATGTTGGTAGGGACAGTGAGTCAGTCAGGAAGCTGGGAGCTGCCCTCTAGGCTGACTGGCTTCCTTGGGGTCTTGAAACACAAAGGAGTCCCTTGATTCTTACTTTCTTTTCAGTCCTGTTTCTCCATCACCTCACCTCACACCACACTACAGTTAGAAAGATGTGTTTGATATTTCTTATTATGATTGGAAGGCATTTGGACCCCTGGCAGTGACTGCTCTCAGTACCTCTTGTCCAACTCCCAGATTTTAGGTGTATATTTAAAATGAAGGAAAAAGGAGCAGCATGAAGGATCATAACTCTCTAAATAAGATTTTACAAGCTGACTGCCTCCTTAGTGTGTTTCCCCTCCATGATCCAGAGCAGTCCTTCATAGTGTATGGGAAAATCTGCTCCCCGTAGCATAGGCACAGGCGGATGCCCTGACATCAGAGAATCCTGAAGAACTTTACTGAGGACAGGGAGGAGACAATGGGAGGTTTGTTTGTTTCCTTCCTTCATCAGCATGTTTATTAAAAACATAGACTGAGGAACCTGTGCTTAAGTGCCAGTGTGGGTGCATACTAACGTCCATAAAATACACCCCACATAGGTGCAAAGGTGCAATCAGAAATGCCCACTGAGACAGTCTCATTCCACACATAGATCTTATAGTTAATACTCATAAGAGAGTGGAGTTGGCATGATTTACAATTCCATCAGCGCTCGTAGAGATGGGGCGTGACTGTCAGAAGGGCATGCTGTAATCACAAGACATATTTTTACGCTTCTCACGTAGCTTTGAATTTTAGTTATGAAGGTCAGTTATTACATACAGCCTAGCTCGTCTGTAACAAGTAGAGCTTTTATGTCCACTCAATCCATCATAGAATTCTGTACAAAATCATTGGCAGATGGGGGAGGAGAAACTGTGGCCAGGTTCTTCCTGTCAGGCATCTGTGAGACTCTCCATCTTCATATACCATCTGGCTTCTTCCCTGTAAATGGAGTGATGGGGCTGGAGAGGCGGCTTGGTGCCTTGAGCACTGGTTGCTTGTGCAGAGGACCTGGGTTTAGTTCACAGCATCCACATGGCAGCTCGTGACCACCTTAATTCTAGTTGCAGGGGATCTGACGCCCCCTTCTGCCTTCTGCAGGTACCAGACACACACAGTTCACATTTGTACATCTAGGCAACAATCATACATAAAATAAGGTTAAGTATATCTTTAAGATGAACCGAGTGACTCTAGCAGAGCCATGGACATGAGGAAGTTCTTATAGAGGTGATTCCACCCCCAGGTATCTTCTGCTTGTGTCCTTCAGGTCCCGCTTCTGGAACACTTGTTATGCCAGCTTTCGGCTGTCGTGCCCTGATCTCCACACTAGGATCAACAACGCAGCTCTAAACTCTTTTCTGATTTTAATTTTATTTTTTAGTTTATATGTACTGGTATTTTACCTATACAGATATCTGTGTTCCACCTATGTGTAGTCCCCAGAGGTCAGAAGAGGACATTAGGTCCACTGAAACTGGAGTTATAGAGGGTTGTGAGCCACCATGTGGGTGCTGGGAATAGAACCCAAGTCCTCTGGAAGAGCAGTTCTTAAATAAATGATACCTTTGAAATTGCCCTTTAGGTTTTTGAGACAGGGTTTCTCTGTATAGCCCTGGCTGTCCTGGAACTCACTCTGAAGACCAGGCTGACCTCGAACTCAGAAATCCACCTGCCTCTGCCTTCCAAGTGCTGGGATTAAAGGTGTGTGCCACCACTGCCCAGTAAAATGGCCCTTTAGGGGAAAAAGCTTTTGGCTAAGTCGGTGCTTGTCCATGGGGCTAACCTGTGTGAGAGCTGTGGTGTGCACTGTTTTCATCTGACAGACAGCGAAGGAAGTGATAGCCATCAGCAGGCTCCCTGGTGTGCTTGAGGGATCCCTGTAGAGTGGGCTGTGTTTCAGGTCAATGAGTTGGTAATATGAAGAGCACTTCCTAACGCTGCGTGCAGAGCCTGAGGCGGATGGAAGAGCTGGTTCCCTCCGTGCTGTGTCCAAAGGCTGATTTGAAGAGGGTATAAGCACCATTTTGTTGGTGCAGGCAGAGAGTTAGGTGCAGATTCTCATATACTGGCCTATGATCTAGCAAGTCAGCAGTTTCCCAGCTGCTTGTCACAGCCTACAAAGTTACATGACCAACCAGTTACACGGTCAACCAGTGCTGGCTCTTCATTAGATAACAGGAAACCCACAAGCAGCTTGTAACTGGCCCTAGAGATCATACCTAAGACAGTTTTTACAGCCAGTATCCTTACCTGGTGAGCCACCTCCACAGTACCCTACTTCCTATTTAAAAGCGGACGGAATAGTACTCTACTGTGTGGATATACCACATTCTGTTTGTCCATTTACCTGTTGACGGGTTGGGCTTTTCCACCGTGGCTATTGTGATCCATGCAACTACACAGGGAGCTACCATCTCTCTCACGATTTCAAATGCTGAGGTGGACGTGATCAGTTGCTTTTGTTCTGGTGCTGTAGCTCATTGGCTGTTTCCTCTGGTATAGAGTTCGAACAGCAGATGCCATTATTTGGGGGTTTATTTCTTGGTAGTTTTCCCTCCCACCACTAGAACCAGTGCACCTTGAGGGGTTTTGTCTGCTTGCTCGTCAGCACACCTTTCCCTTAGAATGGTGTCTGGCACCGGCAATAAACATTTGTAAGTGTGTAGAGAGAAGGAACAGGGAGTTGATAAGGGTAGGAATGGCTTCTTTCCCAGACCTCCCAAGTTCTAGCTCATGTTCCTTCCAGAAACCAGGGAGGTGATTCCTACCCCTTTGAGTGTGGTGTTCACAGCTGAGTCTTGAACACATAGCTTTTCTTCTCACATTTGAAGAGAACTATTTTGAGTGAGGTCATACAGACTATTTTATGAGATGCTATGGAGTGGGAATTCTAAACCAGGAGACTGGAATCAGCCAAGCTTTTGCCCTCAGACACATGTGTGATTCCTGGTATGTTCCCTGTATGACATTCAAATGTGCCCGGTTGCTTTCCTGTCTTGAGCTGTATGGCGAGCTCCTGAGTCTCTGGAAGAAGTTACATTCTGGCCTGTACATGAGGGAGGAGCATGTTGCTGAGAGACTTTCTCTTCCGTCTGCTCTTCTGCAGCCGTGGACAGGGTGAAGAGGCCATCCCCGGAGTCACAGAGCAGCAACCTATGGGTCGTAGTTGGCGTGGTCATTCCCGTGTTGGTGGTCACTGTAATTGTTGTCATCCTCTACTGGAAGCTGTGCCGCACGGACAAGCTAGACTTCCAGCCTGACACGGTGGCCAACATACAGCAGCGGCAGAAGGTAAGCTTTCACCCCTGTGTCTGCATGAGCATTCTTACGGGCAGAAGCAAGGCCAGGCTCGGATGCTGAAAGACAGGGGAGGACCACTGAAAGAACTCTCAGGTCTACCAGCAGCGTCGTCTGTCCTCACGTGTGTTTAGTGTAGCCCCAACTCTCTGAATTAGTAAAACATTCCAGGAGCAAGACCTGTGTAAACACTTTATGAAGTGAGCCTGGGGACTAGTCATTTTATTGTTGAGAGCTCAGTGGAAGGCCAGTTCATTCTGTGGATGAGTTGTGATCTGTTCACTCTGGCTATTTTCAGAGAACAGTGGTTATGCAGGTTCTCTCAGATCCTCTCCTCATGCACAGAGGTAGGTGTGTGTGTGTATACACATGTATGCACACATGCCTGAGGAAGTTAATCCTAGAATGTTAGCCCCTCTGGACCCAGAGTTAGATGTGATGGTGAGCCACCCAGTATGAGTACTGGGAACCAAACTCTGATCCTCTGAAAGATCAGAAGGTAGCCATGGAGCCAGCTCTCTCTCTGTTATGTCTCTCTATGTCCCCATTTAATTATTAAAGCTTGGTCACTCATGTTTTAAACATTTAAGCATCAGTATTATGAGTGGACTCTGATCTTCCAGCATACCCCAGCTCTTCACTGTTGTACGGAGCAGTTGTCTCCTGAGGCTCTCTGAGTGCTTTTCTAAAGCAGACAGCATCCGTTGTGCGTCGCCTGTGCTCCTGATTTGGTTTTCTTTAGATAAGATGGAAGAAATCTCAGTCCCCAATTCTCCAGATTTCTTTTTCAGTGTCTCTTTCCGTGTTTCCCGTGCCCCTGCTGGACTTCCTATTTGCTTTTTTGTTTGTTTGCTTTGTTTTTAGCTCCCCATGTTTCCTCTGTCTTTCCAAAGCATCAAGTTTTGTAGAAATAGTGATTCTTTTTTACTTATGAGTGTTTTGGGAGTTTCTATGACATTGTCATGTGAGGTTCCACAGTGAAGAAATTGACTTGAGGTCAGCATTGAAGCTCACCTGGTGTGAACAAAAACCTTGCCTGCATTCCAGAGAAAGTCTAGCTGTAGGTGCTGACCAGCATGCATTTCAGCCAGCCTGTGTAGTACGACTGCTGTATTTATTACGTGTGCTTACTATGCAAATCTTTCCTACTTGGAAGGCTTGCTCTAGTCTGAAGGTGATAAGATCAAGCAAATGATAAAAGAGCAAGAAATAAAAGATTACCATAGCAACCTTCTCATTTTATTCAGATGGTCTTAAAAAAAAGTCTTTCTTAGCTAGGCATAGGGGTGCATGCTTGTAATCCTAGCACTTGGGAGGTAAAGGCAGGAAGATCAGGTTCAAAGCCAGCTGGGACCATATAATGAGATGGTGTTTCCAAAAACAAAACAAACCAAACCAAACCAAACCAAACCAAACCAAACCAAACCAAAACGGGCTGTGGAGATCACTCAGTGACTAAGACCCTGTCATGCAAGTGCAAGGACCAGAGTTCATGTCCCCCGTGCCTACATAAGATCTGGGGTATGATCCCAGAGCACCTGAGGACCAAACGGGATCTCTGGGACAAGGTGGCCAGTTAGACTAGAGATCTGCAAGCTCTGGGCTCTGAGAGAAACAGCCCACATCAGCTCACACTCATGTGAGCACACATCCACCACACACCACACACATAACCCACCAAAATGGAAAAACAAAACAAATACCATAAATAGTTCAAACCACAGCCTACTAAGTGAAAAAGTAAGCTTAGTTTTTAAACTTGCTAAATACCTATAATAGTAAATAATAAAGAGTATTTTGTTTTCTTATGAATTAATCCTATGCAAAATCTTAATTATACTGCAAGTTTGCGGCTCTCAAATACATTGACAGTATTTTATACACACATATTCTCTTTCCCATTCATCCTCACTTCTTATTTCCATAGTCTCTAACATCTATAGTTGGCATTGTTACAGTAACAGTGGATGTGGAGAAGGAGCTGTCTGTCTTGGTGCTCAGTGATTCACAGCATAAAATTGGGTCAACAATAGGGAGGGAAATGTTTTGTTCTAAGGAAAAGTGTTGTCACAGGGGACTAAACCCGTGGAGATGGCTGTTTGCTTAGGCCTCTTCTGTTCTCTGTTTCTACAATACATACGCCCGTGGCAACCTTGCTCATCATGAACTATCAGAGGTCAGCATCTCCTGAAGTGAAGACAGGCTATCCCCAAGCTCTCTCCTCTTACTTCTGGAATAGTTCCATGGGGCAGATGTTGCTATAAATCAAATGGATGGTTTCAAGTAAAGCTTGCAGCCTGTGGAGCTGCTCTTCTTCAGGGGCTGCAAGGGTCTCTGTGTACACACAGCCGTATTGCAGCAAAGATCGGCATGGCAGAATCCCCAAGGAGATGGCTGCCTGCTCACACCATCAGGAGGCAAGACCGTGCCTTATTTGCCGGCATTGCAGCTCTCTGTACACACTCTCTATACATGGGTCTGCAGTAGGAAGAGGGGGACCTTCCCTTAGTTTACAACACACCTCTTCACTCTCTTCTGAGGCTACACAGCTATGGTGACGGGTCTGTCGCTGTCCTGAGGTGATCAGCGGGGTGCTGTCTTCCTGTGGCTGTAAGGTTCACCTCCCTGCTTCTGTGGCTTTCTCTCCCCATCCTGCTCAGCCCACCCCTGATGCTGCCCTGTGTTACTCTGTGAAATCCTCCAGTAAATCTCAGAGTTATAAACATCTGGAAACAATAAATCTACTGACCTGCACTCCCCACTCCTTCCCCTTGTAACGAAGAGACTGCTTCAGATTGTCTGGGGGTCCATGATTTTTTTGAAATACGATAAGAGGGAGAGGCCAGTGTGTTTTACGTTTCTAGGCAGGGCCTTTTCTTAGTTCCAGTAATAAAGGGGGAAACTCCAAGTATCTCTCCTTTATTTGTATTTGCTTTAACCTCTATCCAAAGCCATCATTTGGTAACATCACCTACAAGACTACGGTGTGGATCCTTCTCACCATAAATGGCTAGATGCCGCAGCCCCCATGGGAATGTGTTTCTCTGATGGGAATGGCCTATACCAGTTATTAGTGTGGAATTGTAGCCCTGGGTGGTTCACACCCTCAGTTGCTACTAAGGTTGGCACTGTGTGCAGGCAGAAGGAGCTGCCCATGTCGTGTACATCCATTGTCCAGACTCCTAAATGTTCAGGCCAGACTAAATTACAAACACAGACGGCATGCATTCTCTCTGTCTTGTTGGGTGATAGTTTTGGAGAAGAAACAATCTCTTCCACATTGACCTGGAGTCGTACAAGCATAGTGTATGTGGACTGTGGCAGCTGTGGGGAGTGTGTGTGTGTGTGTGTGTGTGTGTGTGTGTGTGTATGTGACTGCTACCTTCTGAGAGGTGGTGATGCTGGGCTGGAACTGAGGTGGAAGAGACAGTGTGTTCCTCTGTCTTAGTCATTGGTTCTCTTGCTGAGAAGCAACACCATGACCAAGACAGCTGTTACAAAAGAAAACGTTTAACCGGGGCCAGACTTACAGCTTCAGAGGTTAGTCCCTTATCTTCATGGTGAGGAGAGTGGTAACAGACAGGCAGGCATGGTGCTGGAGAAGTAGCTGAGAGTTCTACACCTGGATCCACAGGTAGCAGAGAGAGACTGATTGGGCCTGGCTTAGGCTTTTGAAACCTCAAAGCCTCCTCTACCCTGCCCTCTGGGTGACACACTCTTCCAATAAGGCCACACCTCCCAATCCTTTTAATCCTTTCTTTTTTTAAAAAAAAAATTTTTATTTACTTATTATATGTAAGTACACTGTAGCTGTCTTCAGACACCCCACAAGAGGGCATCAGATATCATTACAGATGGTTGTTAGCCACCATGTGGTTGCTGGGATTTGAACTCATGACCTCTAGAAGAGCAGTCAGTGCTCTTAACCACTGAGCCATCTTACCAGCCCCCCTTTTAATCCTTTCAAAGAGTCCCACTCCCTGGCGACTGAGCGTTCACAGACATGAACTGATGGGGCCATTCTCACTTAAATCACCACCATCTTGGATGAGATGTAAGGGACTAAGTGGAACTGGAGCAAGCTTGTAAGGAAGAGCACAGCCTAAACCATGGAGCAGAGGATTCTCTCAAGAGGCTTGTAGATGCATATGGGGTCAGAAGCTGGTAAACAGGCAGCCATTACCGGGTGTCTGACGAGGGGAGCAGGCTGGACAGCTATCCTTGCAGCGGTCACTTGGGGAGGCAGCGTGGATAGTGGCTTGAGGAGAAATGCAGTGTGTGCTCCTCTTAGCGCCAGACTCAGAGTCTGCCAGAATCTTCTGCATCCTTAGCACTCTCTGTCACTCTGGCTGCTACCCATGATTCATTGTGGCCGGTGGGTGCCAGAACCTTGGAGTGTTCTCCTCCTCCCATTTCAGGGACCACAGGGCTCCGGGTGGCCACATTGAGGACAAACAGATGGCTGTAACTCCGCCTTGTCTTCACTTTTTTAAAATGGAAACAACCTGATGGCTGTGGAGATTTTTCAGCAATTGTCATCAGTCAAGTGATAAATTCACACAATGACACGCTCCACACCAGGGCAGGTTCTTCAGTTCGGACTCTTGGATTTGCTGTGTGGTTTCTATGGTCATCTTATTGCCCCTTCCCTGGGGATCAGACAGAGCCAGGCACTGGGGGCTTCGCTGTGCCTTGTTCCATCTGGGTCTTGTCATATTTATGGCTCACATGTTTTAAGATTCATCACGTGTCTCTCTTGTTGCTTGGCTGACCTGCTCGCCCAGACCTCCCTGACTTGTCGGCAGTGCGTTCTCGTGGGGCCCAGACAGCGCATTTGTCCCTGAATGATAGGCTGAGAAAAAGAACAAAAGGACCATCTCTCTTCAGAAATAACTCGCTGTAATTTGAATATTGAAGACTCAAATTCATCATGATTTCTCTCCTATGAAAAGCTGAATAAAGCCCATTTGCACACGGAGGGTGAGAGTATAGTG